AAGATGTGGTAGGCATGTAGACCTGCTAGAAGTTGCCCTGGAAATGGATGGGTTTTCAGGAAGTGACCTAAGAAAAGGGGGTGAAGGGTGGAGATTGCCTGGTGGCACGTGTCTTTAATCCGAACACTCAGTAGGCAGATTCTTTGAATTGAGGCCAGCATAGCAAGTTCCATAACAGCCAGTACTACATAGAGAAACCCTGTCTCAAAAATAAATAAATAAAAACAAAACAACAACAAAAAAAGGAATGTGAGATGCTGCCTCGTGTGTATGGGGGTAGGGGCATATGCTAATTTTATACCAGGAGAAATTCAAGAAGATGAAATCAAAATCTAGTCTGTGCAACAGTGGTTCTGCACTCCACAACTGCAAAGGTAAAGGAGTCAAGAAATTTTAACTCAGTTTGTTTGTTTATAGCAACAGTAAAGATCTTTACATGATTCAGTGATCTAGTTTGCTTATCTGTCAGTGGTAGGAGAGTGGACCAAGTGTTCTTAAAACACACAAAGCCATTCAAGGCCAGCCTGGTCTGTAGAGTGAGTTCAAGGACAACCAGGGCTACACAGAGAAACCCTGTCTTGAAAAACAAAACAAAAACCACAAAGCCAACTTTAGTAGATAATCAAAAAGATACTGTAGTGGTTTGAAAGAAAATGGCCCCCAAAGAGAATGGCACTATTAGGAAGTGCGGCCTTATTGGAGTAAGTATGCCCTTGTTGGAGGAAGTATGTCACAGTGGAAAAAGGCTTTGAGGTCTCATATACTTGGGCTTACGCTCAGTGTGATACTCAGACCACTTCCTGTTGCCTGCAAGATATAGGATTCTCAGCTGCCTCTCCAACACCATATCCTACCATGATGAAATGGACTGAACCTCTGAACTGTAAACAAGCCACTTCAATTAAATGTCTCATTTACATGAGTTGTTGTGGCCATGGTGTTTCTTCACAGTAACAGAAACCCTAACTAAAACACCACCTTTTGGAACAAAGCACTGGAGAATCCCTCCATGACCATGTTTGACACAGTCTTCAACAGGACCCAAAAAATACCAACAAAGTGTTGCAAAATGTTTATTTAACTATGTAAAGATGTGTTGCACTTGTTTAGTTATGTAAGATGTTTTGCTGTCTTACCTTGTGTGTCTAAGGCACCTGATTGGTCTAATAAAAAACTGAATGTCCAATAGTGAAGGAGGAGGTACAGGAAGAACTTTCAGGCAGGGAGAGTAAATAGGAGGCCAGGAAGATGCCAGGGGCCAGCCTGACAGACACAGAGAGTCTGGAAAGTAGGACATACAGAATGAAAGAAAGGTAAAAAGCTCCAAGGCAACATTTAGATGAAGAGAAACAGGTTTAAATTAAGTTAAAAGAGCTAGTGGGACAAGCCTAAGCTAAGACTGAGCTTTCATAATTAATAAGTCTCCATGTCTTTATTTGGGAGCTGGTTGGTGGCCCAAAGAAAATTCCAACTACAATAAAGGAAAATGGATCAACTAGACTATATTAAAATAAGAAACTCCCCAAAAGGTTGGGTGGTGGTGGTGCAAGGCTTTAGTAGTTCCAACACTCGGGAGGCAGAGGCAGGCAGATTTCTGTGAGTTCTAGGCCATCCTGGTCTACAAACAGAGTTCTGGGAAAGGCTCCAAAGCTACACAGAGTAACCCTGTCTTGAAAAACCAAAACCAAAACAAACAAACAAACAAAAACTCCTCAAAGGGAAAAGCCACAAGTAGGAAGTTCTTAGAATACACATATCCAATAAAGGATTTGTATATAGGACATACTAAAATCCCTTTAAGTCAAAAAAAAAAAAAAGGCAAACAATCCTATAGACAAGTGGACAGAATTTTTTAGTAGATACTTTGTAAATACAATCTTCAGATCTCCACTAACCAACTGAAAGGTGTTTTTAATTCATTAGTTAGCAGACAAATTCAATAAAGGGGCCTGTAAGATGGCTTAGTGTGTAAAGGTGCCTGTCATCAAGTCTAATACCCCAAACTCAATGCCTCGAACCCACACATGAGAGCTAACCTGACCTCCACTGTGTTCATTTGTGAGAATTCGAGCACACACACGTACATGCACACACATGCATGCACACACACACACACACACACACACACACACACAAACAAGTCGCAACCTGCAGTGAGATTTTGCTAACATTCCAGCAGGAGTCCTGAGACATTTTTTTTTTCAATACAAACTTTCTCTGTGTAGCCCTCGCTGCCCTAGAACTCACTCTGTAGACCAGGCTGACCTGGAACTCACAGAGATCTGCCTGCCTTTGCCTCCTGAGAGGTCAGATTACACCAGGTATACACCATCACCACCCAACAAAATAACAGATTCTTAAGTATATTTTTCCATTTCCTATAATCCCAATTCTTCTGTACTAATTACAGAATAAAAGGTAAAAAACATAGACTTAGTCTAGGTACATAATGATGCCATAAAAATTAATATAGTTACATAATATACTGACTCATATATGGATTACCAGCCTACAATCCACACCACCAGAGAATCTAAGAAACAAGGAGGACTCTAAGAGAGACATACATGGTCCCCCGGAAAAGGGGAAAGGGACAGATCTCCTGAGCAAATCAGGAGCATGGGGGGAGGGGAGAGGGAGCTAGGAGAATGAGAAGGGGAGAAGCGGAGAGGGGGAGGAGGACAGGAGGGAGCAGAAAGATTGAGTTGGGGAAGAATAGAGGAGAGCAAGATAAGAGATACCATAATAGAGGGAGCCATTATAGGTTTAAAGAGAAATCAGGCACTAGGGAAATGTCTGGAGATCTACAAAGATGACACCAACAATCTAAGCAACAGAGGAGAGGCTACCTTAAATGCCCTCCCCTGATAATGAGATTGATGACTAACTTATATACCATCCTATGGCCTTCATCCAGCAGCTGATGGAAGTAGAAGCAGATACCCACAGCTAAACACTGAACTGAACAAG